TTTAGAAATTGTATTTTTTTATTGCTGATTAGTGATCAGTGATCAATCAAATATGGCCAAGCAATTGGCTACGATCTTTGGATCGTAACCATTTGAAATCAATTTTTCATGATGTTATCTTCCAGCGCAGTAGAGCTTACCCGAGCGTGGATCAGCAGAAGCCGACCGTCAAAAAGTTGACGATCACAACATATTGATTAGTGAATGAATTCTGCTTTGCTAAAAAAACTTGAAGCTTGATCAGAAATCTGTGATCAATTATCACACTATTATAGCCAAGCTGTTAGCATAAAGCTCTAAATCTCGTACATGTTTGAAAATTAACTTTAAATACAATAGGGATTAGTGCAGTGACGACGTAGTAGGCATTGTCGCATTGAGACATTATAACTTGAGTTTTATAACTTGAAGATCTGCTTGAATGAGAATAGCTCTTTAGCTCCAGCCTTAAATTGATGGTTGTTACATTTGTATATATAATATTATACCTTTGTTGTTATAGTTTTTGATTTTGTTGTTGGATAGATATTTTCTTGGTGCCTTTTCAATTGTTTATCTTGAGGATAACTCTATTTATCCACAAATTCGACAAGTACCTGGCAAGAATACCTGACTCGAACGGGGATTGCATTTGAATCTGAATTTGTGTTCTATGCCAAAAGTTTAAACAAACATTCAAGTGCGGGTGCGTGCGTTGAGTTGAGGATCGATGGCGATGATAGATGATCGATAATCGATAATTGACGGGCGACGATAGATGCTCGATAAACATATTTTAGATGACCTTTTGATCGATGATGTTGTTGATGGATGCACAGATGTTGCACAACTCGCTTGAGCTCTATATATACCAACTATTGTTGCTTTTCAATGCTAGCAGCTGTTGTTGTTGTTGATGCTGTTATGTATGGTCTGAGTGTGCGTGTGTTTTTTTATATTCATTTATTTACAGTAATATGTATAAGTTTACTATATTTCAAAGAAGCGCAATGCTTGTGGTAAGGCCTTAAAGCATTGCTTCGCAAGCGCTTTGCGTTTGTGTGTGTGTGTGTCTGTGTGTGTGTGTGTGTGGGCGTGCAGTTGCTTTGATCAGGACTCGATTTCAATTTGATTGCCTGCTGCGATCGTGTCGACCAGCAGCAACTACAGCAGCGGCGGCGGCGTAGTGATCAACGTTGGTGTCCACCAAACTGGCGCCACCTGGCGGCATCGGCGGCAGCTGCTGCTTAGTGTGTTTGTACGTGCGACCAAGTAAAGGAACATGCTCTTCTAAAATTAGATGGCAAATTGTAAAAAACGAACAGAAACATCAACAATTTGTACAGTTAATAAAGCAAATGCAAAAACACAAAACAAGACGAATAAATTATATCCAAAAAAAATTTAATCATACAAAGTGAGAAAAACATAACGTATTTTTAAGGGTTTGTTTTGATTTCATTTTTGGGATTTCTCCACGTAGCATGCAACAAGCGCGCGCCCCATTACCAGCGTGCAATGAAGCAAGAGGCACGATTAATGTTTAAGGAATTAAAGATTCACAGCGGTTGCTTTCTTAAAGGCAACTTTTATACAAAATCAAACTATCAGCGAGCGGGACAGAGAGAGAAAGACAGAGAGAGAGATGGAAAGAGAGAGAGACAGAGATAGAGAGATTGCGAGCGAGCGAGAGGGCGCGATTGTGAGATAAATTTGAGGCTAAACGAAAAGATTTGTAAACCCAGGTGTAAGCGCTGTTAGCTCACCTTGCAGCTGACGATTGATTAGGGCCGTCAGTCCATGGCCCACATCGACGCTCTTCTTTAAGATGAGCATAGGCTTGTCCTCGGCATCATCTGCATAGCCGCCCGAGGGCAGGAAACCGTTGCTTGCTATCGACTCGCTCACCTGTTGGCAATTTAAAATGTAGTCAGGCACTAGCTAATTGGACATATGTATTAAGGCTTTATATGCTGCAATTGTCACCTGTGTCACCTGCATTAGCTTTTTCACCACATCGCGGCCCAATATGTGATCAAATACAGTTTGCAGGAAGGGTTCGGCCATTATTGATAGCTTGAGCTTGTCCCGATGCCAGATAAGCACGCGCGACTCCTCCATGGCCATAATAGACACCTGTATGCACATTTACACATAATTAGATATAGATGCTGGCCAATTTGATATTTGCTCACCTGAAAGTAGTCATCGGTCGAAACGCCAAACCACTCTGGCGAGTCTAGGAACTGATGGGGAAACACAATGTGCAGCGCCCGCTGATGCTGCGACACGACCAATCTGCAAATACAAAAAAATTGATCAGTATCGAGCAGCGTTATCGATTCATCACCATTGTCACTCACTTGCCGCTAAGCACCAGCGACAGGCTGTCAACTTTGGTAACCTTCTCCTGTGCATAGACCTCCTGGTATTTGAGTCCACGTATCACCTTCATGCAGTTGAGCACCTTGCGAAATTGTTGACGTGTCACGTGCAGCGGCTGGAACAGCGCGACGTACATCTGATAGAGAGGATAGAGCGTGGAGATAAATTCAGCAGCCGATTTAATAAACAATTAATGAGAACCTCAGACAGTATCTTATCTATGAAGATTGCAGTTCTATGCATAGACCACTCGTAATATCTTATCTAGTTCTTAATTACACGCATTGGCCATAAATTTGATCACGCGAACACCGTCGGTTCCCCGATATCGTTTGCGACTTGAGTGCTTCTTGCCATTTGGCCAGACTCTGCCGTACGATCCTTAATACCCTCCACCCCTCGTTAGAGCGCAAGCGATTACCATCATGTCTCCCATTCAAATATTGAATGTCAAGTTCAAGTGCCACGAACGCCTTAATAAAAAAAACTTGCAATGGCTAGCGTAATAAATCGAGGACTGCGCCTAGACGATACTCTGTAATAATTAAATGAGCACGGTGACTATTTGTATTGCTAACTATGTAAAAGTAAATGATAATCATGAACGTGCAAGTGATAATACGTCTGCTGAAGTATACGAATCAAAAGTGCTCTAGTAGCGGGTTTCCGACAAATACCCTCAGCCGTGTGGTATGATATTGCTCTAATATTTCTGATATTCCAGATATTCTATAATTTGGTATACTTTAGATGAATTTATATGCCACACGTGGCTGGCTTTACGTTTGTCAACTTTTTCCTCAATTTAAATAGGTTTCTTTAATATTATCGATGTTTCCAAGCCAAATTTGAAAAGTACGTATAATCGTCAGCTCATAAAGGCTCCGAAAAAGGCGGACGAACTGAGCATTTACCCCTAATAAATTATGTTATATGATCAAGAGCAAGAATCGTTCTATATTTCTCAAATTTGTTAGAAGTTAAAAATCATTTTGACTTTTGATTAAGTGTTATATGGACTTTTAAAATGCTTTTCCCTATGACGTAAGTAATCAAAGGACACAATTCAATAAGAAGCACTTGGAAGTACACGCATTTAGGTAGGAATGTCAAATAAGAAAGCCTATTTAACAGATTTTGTAGTCTCTTGGTTGAGTCATTTGTAAGTGTTATTCATATTTATTTATTCATATATTTTGTATCTAAAGAAAAATGTTTCTCAGAGCCGTTTTGCTACAAAATAGAAACATTATTTTGATGCAAGTTTCGGAGAAAATGATCTTGATAATGTGGACAATATGGATATAATACCAGAGTAAATCGATTTTCAGAGCTGCTTTCATCTGCTTTCAGTTTCACTGCGTGTCAATGGAAGGCAGCTGATCATTGATCGCTAACTACTGATCGTCAATAAATTTTTTCAACAATCAACATTATAACTGCTTATAACTGGCACATACGATCGTAACTCGGTGATCGAAGGATATAATTTTAAATGAAGATCACCAATGGCCAAACTGAAGGTAAGAAAAGTAGGGTTCATTGTTTTTATATAGCTATTCTAACTGCTGGAAGCAATAGAGTCACAGATCACCGTTTCACGATCATTTATAATGAATTGGAGATTGACTCAACTAGAGAAAAGGCTGCTATAAAAGAACTGCAAATCTAAAAGGTTAAGACATCTTCAGCGCTGACTTATTTTAAATTGAAGCTGTTCATTTTGATCATTAATATTCCTTTCCCGATTCCAGAGTAGAACATAATTAAATTGCATTCAGATCCACTAGAGGGTTAATGAAACTTCACTAATTGCTATTATGATAACATGTTGACAGAACTCTAATCGCTAATCACATCGATCGCTGATCAACATGTTTATTGTTTTCGTTCCAAGATCTCGCACTTGCTGACTGATCAAATATTTACCCAAACGAGAGTGCGAGTACGAGTGCGTGTTAGAATAGAAGTGCGAAGCAATTGGCGTGTAAATCAGTTGGTTTGATCGATGTTAATAAAATCATGTGTCTAACGGCATTGAGCACATGGCAGCGGCCGGTATTAAATGGGCCAAACATAATCGCATGGCCATAACACATGGCCAGTTGCAAGAGACAGCGTTCGGTTATCGGATTTTCGGTTGTCCGTTGCTATGCAAAAAAGTGTTTATTAAGCGTCTCTGCTGACGCAGACACTAGACATCCAATACGATTAGCCACCAATAGCACCACCACCTCTGAGCCGGAGCGCATGGCATCAAGCTGCGACATGAAACTTCAGCAGTTATTGCAATGCTCTGCTAAAAATTGAGCACCATCGTCGGGATATTGGATTTAACACGCGCTTTGACAAAAGAATTATGAAGATCCGCCTAGGTTAAATCAACCAAAATCGAAGATATAAAATTGCGCTAATGGTGATTAGCGCACAGCCAACCAAAATAAATTACAGTTTAAGTTTTTCTGAAATTGTAGGGGAATACGTATCTGTATCTAAAATTGGAAATGGCAACAAATATCAGAGATCAGATTAACTTTTAATAGCATAAACAAAAATATAGAGTATTCAGTGGTCAGCGTAAGGGGCTCAGATTTCATTTTGTGTGTTGCTTCTCATGTTGCCTTTCCTCTTTAAGCCGGTATATTTTTTATTTCGTTCTTCTTTTGTAAAGCCACATACAAACACATACATATATAAATAAATAAATAAAATAATCAAGAGTTTAGCTCAACAGCGGACAAATTGTAATCCGGGCAGGTTTATTTGCTGCCGTTATTGTTGTGGCTGTGGCTATGGCTGTGGCTGACCGGCTTGCCGCATGTGGCGCGAGATTTGCAACAGCAGCGCCTGCAGCAACAGAGTCGGCAGACATCGCCACCGATGCTAAAGTCACGTACACCAGCGCTGGCTGCCTTCAGCCGCAGTTGACAACGGTAGCGACGGCGATGGTGAAGCTCTTCAAAGAGCAAAGCGCTCGCGCGCTGCAAGAGATCTTAAATGAACCGAACCGGAACGGAACGAAACAGTAGAGCCACGAAGCGCAGCAGCGGCTGCTTCTCCCCGGCACTCTCTCTCTCTCTTTCAACTCTCTCACACTCAACCCAACACACATGCACATGTGTGTGTGTGTGCGAGCCAAATGCGATTAGCTTTGAGGCTGTTGCTGATGAAGATGAACTGCTGAGCGCGGTTGTTGCTGCGTGCGATTATCTACGCAATGGACAGATAAGCAAAATAAAATCAGTTGCGGCGCTCAATTTGCAATTTAATTCAATGAAAGCAAAAAAAAAGACAGGAAGAAAAATAACATAAAAAAGTTGATATCCACAGCTTGACACAGAACAAAAAGCGGCCATTGGCCAATTGCTTGCAAAATGAGCCAGAACACAGTTACAAATCGGCTATCGGCGTAAACGACCAGCGGATGATCTCTTTTCGCAATTGCATAGTATGAAATTTGTGATTGTAATTGAAGCTTTTTAAATTGCGTAGGGTATCACCTGCTTCGTTACAAAATTTGTGATTCAATTCAACTAGAAGTGAGAATTCAAAGGGTATCAAGTTATGAAGTGCACTTGTCCAATTTTGGACGATTTCGGAATAAATTATATTTTTTAGTATTTGAACAATGTGATTAAAATACTTTCGTCTATTTACGTCAGAAAATAATTAGATAATGCAATTAGCTAACCAAAGTATTCTGCAGCCAAACTCAACTGTCATCACAGATTGTCATAGATTTCAGCATTGCCTAGAAAACTTGATCTATACCAATCCATTGTGGTCGAGGCACAGTTTATTTCGAAAGCTCCTTAAAACTGACCTGCCTGAATGCTATGCGTACAGACTGACACCCACACGCATACATAGACATCTGAACCAAGATATGCTCACACGGGTGACCGTGCATTGGAATAGCTCTGCCCAGTTGCCCAGCTGTCCAGCCAACAGCAGAGCTACTGTACCAAGAGCCATTGAACTGAACCCGCTGCGCTACTATATTGATAAGCAGTTCGCTCCCAAAGAGAAGCATGTTTCGCTCTCTCTTCGCCTTAAGAGCGAATGTCAAAAGCGCAGTCGTAACAAATGGGCTGTGCGCACCGTACTCGAAACACCAGTGAAAGACGCCATTGGCACAGCCACGAATTGGCAGCACTTCCTGTTGGCCTGCTAGACGCTTTATATACCCTGTACCCATATCTGTTATAGCTATACTACATTTATATATACTCTACACTTCACTGCAGTCGACTGTATAAATATTTCAGATGAATTGAATTTCAGATCATCTGATATTGTATTCATTAATGACTTCTCAAACATTCATATTTCTAGATCAAATCATAGTCCAGAGGATATATACCAAATATATATCATACCTGTAAATATTCTACCTGGTCATAAATGCAGCTGTAGTTTGCTAAATAATCTTGTTAATGTAACTGATAGGTTTGTTTTATATCACTAGGTTGAAATACGTTTTCCAACACTTTAAACTCAATTCCGGATGATGTGTTCCTAAAAGCCGGCTTCTCACTCTGACTTTCTAACCATAAAAATATTAAATCAAAAGCTTAAAGAGCTAGAAATAGCCTGGTTCGATGGATCGACTGGTCGAAAAATTCTATTGCAAAGTCAGATTACAATCTTCTACATTTTCGATGTTATAAGATGCGTAAATTATCAGGTTTATTATTATATATATGTCTCAAATTCAAAGTTGGAGTTATTTTTAGAAGTTCAGTTCTCTAATGTCGATGTCGATTCGATTTCAAATTAACAAAGCGAGATTGTGGTGACAAATTTGTTTTCCAGTATTTTGCAATTGTGTTTACAGAGTATTTATCAATCGTATAAAGCTGATTGAAACATTCTCACTGGCTTTTCTAATCTTTCTTTATATTTCGTGTTGCTAGCAGTAAACAAAAATTTCGATCAATTTCATAAACAAGTTGGCAATACAACCAGCTGTTTACAGCTAAGGGCATACTTAGATAACAAACAGCTAAGAGGAGGAAGGGGCCAGGGCAGATGAGACCTAGCGACACGACGTGTTGGGGCGCCGTGATCGTCGTTCACGTTGGCTTATCAGATAAAGCTGCAGCAGCAGCACCAGCAACAATAATTGCATTATAA